ATTGTGGTTTAATTTTAAAAGCTGAGAAGCCATCATAACTAGTTTCTTTAGAAAGAGATTCTTATGTACACTGTAGTGATTTTGGTATGATGATTCTGCTAGTTTTTTGTCAGAATCGAACGAGTCACCGCATAATTAGTTGATTTAATTATTCGCTGATGAATCAGATCGATATAAAAAGCAAATGAGTGTGCTTGTGACAATACCGTTTTTATTTTTTAAATACGTTGGGTTCAAAATTTTTTTAAACACAATGTCTCATGAATAAGTGATGTTTACAACGTGTTGAAAAAAGCAAGCAGTTAATGAAAACATTTAACACGTAATGAGAATTAAACTGTTGAAATATTATGGTTGATGACATGTTGCTTCATTCATATAAGGCATGGAATTTCGGTTATGTAACTCTTATTTTGATTCATTTGTATCATTTTTCTTTTTTTTTTCTAATAGAAATTATCACTTTGGAACAGCTACATAAAAAATAAAAATATTGTGAAACACAGTGAAATTAATAAACAAAATGTTTTACGTACCAAACAATGAATTATTTTAAAATCCAAAAAAAAATCTATCGGTACAATAATACCGTTTCTTCTTCTTGATTTGCCTACCGTATCTGAGCAGCGCGGAAAAGCTGCACAGATGATGTAGTGAACCATATTCTGAGGTACTTAACCAAGATGTTCTTCTTCCTGGACTTCGTTTTCCAAATATTTTTACTTGCAGGATGGCTTGAAGGGGAGCATATCTGGATTCATTTCGCATAATATGTCCGAAGAATTGTACAAGAATTGTAATCAACCACACATACGTATACCTCGCAGTTGACGTCTCTGCATCTCTTTAATCTCTTTAAGATTTCACTCCTTCTGTGGTATTTCTCCAGCGTTGTATATGTTGTTGAATATCTTTGCGATTACTGCTATTGATTCGTTGTTGATTAGTTTGATTAGTTCTGCTTGTATATTATCAGGGTCTGCCGCTTTGCCACCCTTTAACTGTGTTATTGCGGAATAAACTTGCTGTAATATTCTTGGTCCATCATTTACCTGTTCTTTTAGCTCACAGGTGTTATCTCTTTGGTCTTCAAATGGTTTTTTTAGATGTTCTTTCCACGTTCTTATTTTACTCTGTTTAACCAAGATGATATTTCCATCAGAATGCCTTCGTCTTAGTCCCCTTATGAGTTCTTTCACTTTCCTATGTACATTGTGACTATCGCACTTTGACTGCAAAGTCGTCGTATATAATAATGCCGTAATATGGTTGAATTGAAACTAATAAACCGAAGCAATGGAGTATCGAAGGACCAGTCAGGATTTTTGGATGCAACGAAAGCCTTTACCGAATTTCTTAGGTTTGGTGATCTTTAACCTACTAACTTATTAACATTCATTAGAACTTTTCCCTATGCTCAGAGGAATATATGTACCGAGTTTTAGTTCTCTAAAACTGTTCCTTTAAGATCTATTGCACAGACAGTTAAACGGACAGAATATATCTGACCAAATATGCGATATAAGTACATATATTATACGTCTAGCTCTCAAATCTTGACTAAATTATAATTAAAGCAATTATTTAGATTAACGATAACTTTTTATAATTTTTACATAAGCTAATTAAAAATTCATTCAGTAATTAATTATTACCGTAACTAATTCGGCTAAAAATTGAATTAAAAACTTAAGCGTAGATAAAAATTTAATGTACATTATAAAATATCAAGGCTGGCAAGTACTAAAAATATAACTACTAAAAGATTTTTTCTCCTTATCCTCTGCTCGCTACGGAATGGAACTTTTCCAAATCTATTGTATATTCAAATCATTTGTTTCGTTGATAAAATATCTCTCACAAGCTGAGTATTGTTATATTTAATAACTATTAAGCGAGTATATTTGCAGTAATTTTTATCGCGATTAATGGTTCAAATTGGATACAAGTACAAAGGAAAAATTTGGATAAAAATAAAAGTTCTTGATGAAAAGCAAATACGGTTTCTTGACGTATGTAAAGAACAACCTTTTTTAACGATCCGATGAAAATATACGAAATTGACTATTTTTCAAAATATTTTTCAAGCAGGAAATACTGTTAGATGAAATTCAGTAAATATTTGAGCGACATGTTTGCTTTGAGTAAATTTGTTGTGTTTTTAACCTCTTAGACCAGATTTTTAATCGAATTGAGGTTATAAACATAAGGTACCGCTCGATATTCGTCAAGTAAACATATCTATGTATATAAAAATAACATAGTAAAGAAAATAAATTAGTTATTCTGTCAATAAATAATTATTGATGGTACAAAGGACTCGATTTAATATAGAAATTTTGTTAATACACAATAAAATCCATATTTTATCCAAATATGTTTGAAAAATTTGGAGAAAAGGTTTTACAAAAGAACAAATGAAGAGAGAACTAAAATAATAAGCAGACAAGTTAACTAAAAGTAATGGTAATAGATTATCTAAAATTAAAATATCCAATTATGCGAAAGTGAAATAATAAAATGGAGTAATAATATAACCAATATATTAAGTACAGCAAATTGAATCATTTTATAACATCTCGAAATTATTCATAATAAAAAGATAGCAAGCACTATTAAAGCTGTGAAAGATCGCTTTCACATACTTAACCAACTTTATTATAGATGTGGAGGAGTGAGGAGCTCTCACAGCATTCTACTTAAAAATCTTTCAATACTCTAGGTTTTCAGCAGTGGGCAATAGGTACGACCAACGTTATATTAGGTGTTGCTAACTAACCCTCCTTTTAAAAACAAACATCAGAATACATTGATAACACAAAAGGAAATACTAAGAGACTTTTGAAAATAATATATAAGAATATCATACAGAATAATAAAAAGAAAACTTAGTATGTATAACTAGCGAGAGGGGTTAGGCAAGGATGCGTCTTGTCTCCGACGCTTTTCAACGTGTACTCACAGGTCATATTCAGAAAAGCCTTATGGGAAAGAAAAGAGGGAATAAGAATTGGTGGAGAAATCGTAAACACCATGAGATTTGCAGATGACACGGTAATTATGGCTGAGAGTATAGAAGATCTACAACTTTACTAGATGCAATAAATAGTGAATGCATTCAAATGGGACTTGACATCAACACAGATAAGACCAAATTTATGATAGTATCAAGGAGTCCAATAAATAATGAACAACTAACTCTTGGTGGACAGCAAATAGAGAGAGTGACAAAATATAAATATCTGGGAGCTTACATCAACACAGAATTAGATCCAGACCAAGAGATCCAGATACGAATAGAAATGGCAAGGGCAGCATTCTTAAAATTCAAACAATTGTTCTGTGACAAAAATCTGAATATTGCGCTGAGACTGAGGTTTGTTGAATGTTACGTCTGGTCGCAATTATTGTACGGGGTAGAAACATGGACACTAAAAGCGCAAATAGTTAAAAAGATTTGAAGCCTTTGAACTTTGGATATACCGGAGAATGTTGAGAATCCCATGGACTGCCAGGGTCACCAATGAGGAAGTGCTGAGAAGAATGGGTCGAGTCAAAAAATTGTTGAGAACGATAAAAGTACGCAAGACTGCATACCTTGGACACATACTAAGAAATAATAAATATAGTCTTCTGCAGGTCATCATGCAGGGTAGAGTCGATGGCAAAAAGGAATAGGTAGAAAAAGGAAGTCATGGCTGCGAAATATTCGAGACTGGACAAACATGACTGTAGACGAATTATTCCACGTTGCAAAAGACAGAGAAGCTTTTAAAAATGTGGTCGCCAACCTCCGTTAATGGGGACGGCATAGGAAGAAGAAGTATGTATAACTCTTTCTCGCCACTAAGTCTTTCCTGTATCCTTAAATATTATTCTGTGACTGCTAACTGTGATCACTTAAACATTCGGGAATAAAGTCAGTTGTTTCAAATTACGTATAAATATATTATATTATGTGGTCTTAATGCATAAATATACACACAAAAATTAAACGTTATTGTTAAAACGAACTTTAAAACCTAACTCAAAATTTGCGTATCTCTAAAAAGGTGTATTAGGGTAAAGCATCACTCAAATGTGTTACAATCTGTAAGAGGTCGATAAAGCTTACTGCCGTTGTCGAAAATATATTACAAACCGAATGTTCGCAAATTTTTATTATAAGTTTTCAACCCCTAAAATATAATATCCATCGCGGATATTCTTTATCTTCCTGGATTCTGTTTGTTTTCCTCGTTTTCAATCCCACGGGGACTAAACAAAGTCGCCTCAGAATATATAGGGCGCATTTTTTATTTCATTTCACTACCTTCCCTCCCGTCTCGTCCTTTGAAGTGGATTCTCCAAATAGCTGAATCTGCCCTGCCGGTTTTGGGTAACCTTATTGTAGACTTACGGGTAGAAGGTAGAGATGAGCGAACAAACTGTTCGTAGGAACAACCACGCTCTGGGATTGTGGGAAAAGGGAATGGGTACCAGTATTTTCGAGTTTACGAAAATATTAAAATATAATTTTAAATGGTTTACTTGATGTAAATTTTATCTTGTTTTGTTAATTGTTAAATATTTAATTTTCAAAATAATTCATTTGTAGAGTATATAGCTCAATAATATGTCTAAGTATTTCTAAGACAAGAAAGGACAATGGACTCCGGGCAGGTATACAACACCAAGGAATACATTTATTGAAAGGGGCAATTTGTTACGAATCCAGCACAAAGACTTATTCGACAAACTAATAAAATCTAGTACATAGATTCGGATCGATTTCATATGGGTCAAGGTTCATTAAAAATGTAAAAGATGTTTTATTATTAAAAGTTCAAAAGCTATTTTAGGTACATATGCCTACATTTCTAAAAATAGAATTAGACACGAAACGCGAACAAATACATTATTTGTCCATTGTGACCATGGAAATGTGTTTAATTGTATATAAATTTTCATGTATTGAAGCAGTGTAGGTCAGTAAATAATTATTTCTCTTTTTGTTACAGTTTAAACGTATGCTGAATAAGGAGCTGTCTCATTTCTCCGAATCTAGCAAATCTGGCAATCAAATATCGGAATATATCTGCTCCACTTTCCTAGGTAAGCACCAAAGTATATCAATTTATAGTTCAATGCGGAAACGACTGTACAATGTATATTACGACATTCGTCCATAATCCTTTCAAAGTAGGGCAATTTTTACAGTTCAAACTTTCTAAAATATTAGTTCTCAAAGTACAAATTAATATAGATATATTATCTACTTTACTTTCATTATGATATCGATTATAATATATCCAACCTAATCTAGTTCGTAACTTATCATTATCAATTAGCCTATATTTGTCCACTGCTCAACATAGGCATCCCGTAGAATTGTCCACCTATTTCTATCTTGACCTTCTCGCATCCAATTTGTGGTGATGCGATTTATATCATCCGTCCATCCAGTCGGTGGTCATCTTCTGCTTCGGTGTGCTTCTTGTCTTGGTCGCCATTCCAGATTTTTTCTGGTTCATCTATCATCCGTCAATTTCCAAATGAAGGGAAAACGTATTGATAAAGACTTCATAACAGCTTTAAATGCCTAACATAATCAGCTTTATTTGATTTATTACTGTCTTACTTTACAATATTTTAAAAATTTTATATGTACGGAATATAGATGATTAATGAAGTATTTATTTTGTTTTAGATAAACAACAAGAATTGGACCTACCCTCCCTTCGTGATGAAGTCCCTGAGCTCCCAAAACCCACTCAACGCAAAGAACGCGTCCGAGGACCGCATTCTACCATGTCTCAAATATCAGGTGTTAATCGTAAACCACTTTGCCACACTAATTCTTTTACCGGCGAGAAGTTACCTTTGCACGGCATTGAAACACCTTACGAAGAAGAATTGGGTAAAAGTTTAATTATGATAGATCAATGGGGCATCGATATTTTCCGCATCGGAGAGTTAAGCAACGGAAAGCCCTTAACCTGTGTAGCTTACACGACCTTTAACAATAGAGACCTCTTGAAGACAATGAACATCCCTCCGAAGACGTTTATAACTTTCATGATGACCTTAGAAGACCATTATGTGAAAGAAAATCCTTTCCACAATTCTCTGCATGCAGCGGATGTGGCTCAAAGTACACATGTTCTACTGAATACTCCTGCATTAGAATCTGTATTTACACCGCTAGAAGTGACAGCAGCTCTATTCGCAGCGTGCATTCACGACGTAGACCATCCTGGACTTACCAATCAATTTCTAATTAATTCTAGTTCTGAGTTAGCCCTTATGTATAATGACGAAAGCGTACTAGAGAATCATCACTTAGCTGTTGCCTTTAAATTACTTTCTAACGATGGTTGCGATATTTTCTGTAATATGACCAAAAAACAGAGACAAACTCTTAGGAAGATGGTCATAGACATGGTTCTTAGTACTGATATGTCCAAACATATGACTCTTTTAGCTGATCTAAAGACTATGGTAGAAACGAAAAAAGTAGCTGGTTCAGGGGTACTTCTTTTAGATAATTACACAGATAGAATACAAGTTTTGGAAAATTTAGTGCACTGTGCAGATTTAAGTAATCCTACCAAACCTTTACATCTCTATAGACGTTGGGTAGATCTCCTCATGGAAGAATTTTTCCAGCAGGGAGACAAAGAAAGAGAAGCCAAAATGGACATCAGTCCCATGTGCGATAGGCATTCAGCTACAATAGAAAAGACCCAAGTTGGTTTCATAGATTACATAGTACATCCCTTATGGGAAACTTGGGCAGACCTAGTGCATCCTGACGCTCAGGATATTTTGGACACCTTAGAAGAGAACCGCGATTGGTATCAAAACGCTATACCACCAAGCCCCCCTCCAGAAGAGACTCCCGAGTCCCAGCGACCAGGCATCAGATTCCAAGTTACTTTAGAAGAAGGCGAAGGGGAATCTGAAGAAGGTCCGATGTGACGGAAACTAGGGGGCCTCTGTAGAAAGCTCACTGAAAAGGTGCAGCAATGGTGGCGTATCAGGCAGTAAGCGCAAGTGCAGGCGCATGCGCACTGACTGACGAACGTTACACCGCGCAGGCGCGGGTTTGTTGTGTTTTGCAATATATGCTTGACTGAAATTTTGAATTTTTCGGGCTGAGATGCCAGCCTGTTCTTATATATCGCAGAGTTCCTGGGAGTGTACTCTTTTTTCAATTTTTTGTTCGGTTTTTTAGCAAATCTGGTAGATATATCGCTTCATGGCCAAATCGTAAGCTTAAATAATCTAGGAAATACTTTTCAACAGGTTCATAACCATCCCTAAACAAAAACTAAACTGTTTTTAAGAAAAAATAGTAATTTGTAAATCTTTTAAGTTTATGAATTTTGAAACCGTATTGTTAAATGTAAACCGTGTTGTAAAGTATTGTTAATTTTAAAATGACTGTCATAGCAAGTCGGTTTACAGTGTTACAATACAAATATAGGCATGTCAGTATAGCTTTTTATTTATATGAAATAGCGGTATAAATCTTCATACGTTAAGATAACTACTGTTTACATAAGATAAAAAAAGATACCTTCTATCGCTAGTCGGGCCCCAAAGAACATTATCATTAAAACAGATTTAGAAGCGACGCAAACATTGAAACATTTATTGAAAATTGCATAGGCTGCAAAATATGATGATAATATTATTAATGTTGCTTTTGGACAAAGCGTCAAATAATTGTTTTGGTTTTATGAAAACATTTCTGGTAGATGTAGATATTTTTTATTTGTTAAAGAATGAGAGATATACATATTGTTAATTAGAGAAATTTTTTTGCATTTGTGATTTTTACCAAAAAGTTAATATTTATGAACTAACATATGTTTGTTTACTAATAATTAGGCTAAATAAAAATATATTAGAAAGTTTATTAAGCACAGTTTGTTTTGTTAATTTTAATATTTTAATATCCTATCTATACTGTTGTCGACAACCATATGACGACGGTGATTGAAATTTATGTGAAAAAGACAAAAATAAAACACGTAAATAATAAACAAGTTATTGAAACACAAGGAAGACATTTAAATGTCAGAAACATGATAAAGAAATAAATTAATAACAAGGGGGATTTAAGTAGCTCCTAAGTACAAAAAAAGTAGCTGCATTTTATTCATTTAAAATATTTTGATAATTATAATGGACAATGGATAAACAAATACTATTTTTACATGTCCAGTCTGGGCATAAAATTTATGATTTGGAAATAAGATCTTACAAACATAACACTCAAATCAGAGGTCAGCAGAACGACCGATGATAGTTCCAAAGAAAAACAAATATCAAATTGGTCTCTTCCCTATAATTTAAATAAAGCAGATAATGAGCACGCAATCAATAAGCAACGTCAGAAGTGATAACATGCGATTGTCTCACATTGTTTCGGAAAAATTCTTATGTTCTAAAAATGAAAGTAGAGACCCTACGAAGTAAGCAGTATTCTAGAGTTTATTATAATATTCACTAGATTAAAGTGCAGCAACACATAGGTCTGAACGATCAAATATAATTTAATGCCTAATATAAATTGGTAGGTATTCATGAATTTCCATCGACAATAAAACAAAGATGTACTAATCAGTTTTTAACCTCTGCCAAAAACACTTCAATCTACTGTCTTCAGATTCAGGTTTTGACATATTTCGTATATGTCATTGATTGGTGGTGATAAGTATTTTAAGCAGTTTGTCATAATTGAATATATAAGTGAATACATAGAGCTTGAATTAAAATGATATGAAGCATAACTTCTGTCCAATTTACTGAAAATGGAAAACGTGGTATATTATAGCTGTGGTGGGCAGATTGTGTGTTAAAGAGTGGATATGCCCTTACGTTATTGGAAGGGTCAAGCACAGATCAAAATCGAGTTATAATATCAGAAATACAGTTAAGGAATTTTTCCTATAGCATATGTACCTCTAATAGCCTGTAATGTTCATTGCTAGGTATTATCCAGGCATCTTTGTTATATTGGAAACTTTAACTGTAAAACAGTTCACAACGATGAGCGTTTATAATTGTATGTTTTGGATGTGGGTAAGGAATTTTTGTCAGTTTAAAATTTGTGGCTTTATAAGTAACACTGACAGAAAAAAATAATACTTACACCTTAAATACAGATAGGAGAACTAAAAAGAATATTTCTTATCTTGTATAAACTCTTCTAGTAAATTGAATCTTCCTTCTCGAATTATCCGGTTATCGTTTTGAATAACCACAAAATTAAATTAAGTATTTCACCTTGGATCAACGATTTTACATCAAACTAAATTTATGTATATATACTTCTTGGCACTTAACTTATAGCCAATAGAGATGAGTTGTATTAGGGATGGTTTGAATATCTTGAACGAAATGCCGTTGTATAAAATTGTACCTAATGAAAGATTACAATCGAACTGACTGTAGCAATAAAAGAGAATAAAAGTCTACTACTGCTTTTTAGAAATGAAATGCTTTCACGCTGTTTTCTTGTGTCTGCATAGTGGCTTTGGAGTTTTCACGATTTCCACTCTTTTCGGTTGACTTTCGCAATAGTACGTGCATCTAATAAAAAGAGTCAAATAAATATTTCAGTAAATATAATAATAGAATGAGTGATAAAAATACATATTTGTAGACCGAAAACTGACAAATATACGTCGTGTAATAAAGATAATATTTCATGGGTAAATAGAGCTCAATAAGCTAAAAACCTGAGAAATGTATGGTTTTTAATGTAGACACCACGATGTTTGAATCGGTGATGTCTCCGAATAATTTATCATATTTAGAAGTTAAATTAAAGCCTGGAAATATTTGTTAGTAGAACTGATTGTAAATATTTAAAAGTTTTAGTCACTTTGTATTATTTTAAATTTAACCACTTTATGTTGTCAGTTCTTTATCAAAACTACCTGTAATTATGATTGTAAATATCACTGTTTTTGTCCTTTGTGTAGAAATTAACAATCGTCGATTTGGCTATCAGGTTGATGTCTACCTTAATTTTTTGGCCTTTTAACAAACCCTCATTGTGACACGCCTTATAATTAGAAAGATACTCTCCCTGCTAAAAGAACATCTTTGTATATATAGTTCATATCTTGTATGTGTAATACTCAGCCCTCTGTATGTATAGGTAATATATGTCATGTCAGCTATGTTACATAAAATAAAAGCTCTCTCAATTATATTTCTTACTTTCTTTTACCTCTTCGAAATTTCTTAAAAAAGTTTCAGCATGGAAAATATTACGCAGATTCAATAACTGATGATTTTCAATAGTGTTAGCAATACGTATAAACTAAGCTGACACCTTAAAAAATACACATAAAATTGCTAAAGATTAGATATTAGGAGAGCTCAACATCAGCTCACATATCAGCAGTGCCGGATAAAGCGGCGAGTAAGCAGTGGCGGATCCAGAAATTTTTGTTGGGGAAGGTCATGAGTCTTGAGGGTGATTTAGGATTAAAATATTTGCACCTTTACGATTGATATGATTTGTGCCCCATGTAAATTTCCTCAATAATTATTTTAAGCGATATATTAAACCAATGAGAAGTTATTAAAACCCAAATACCCTGAAACCGCCTGAGGGGTTTCTACCTAGGGAAATTTCTTAATTCTCCTAATCTGAATGGACAGGGGGAGGAATTATGTTACTATTAGCAGTATCCGAGACAGGTAGGATTACCTTAAAACACATTCAATTGTAAAACGTAATTTCCATTTCAAAAATATAAGACAGTCAAGGGAAACAAATAGACAAAACTTTCTGTTCGTA